AGACGTGTGCTCTTCCGATCATATTAACCCCAATATTACTAAAATCTCAATACACATAATAACTGTCAAAATATGTAATGGCAGCCGCTCAACAAAGTAAGCATAGTGAGATAACCAATCAGCATCACGAAAAGCGACAATAAAAATTACAAGCATATTGCTGTCATTTTGCTTAGAGAAAAAATATTAAAAATATATTAAATTATAATGTATAATTTTTTGATTTTATTAATTTATTTTATATAGTAGACATTTTCAATTAACAACAGTCTCAAACTTTTGACTGGCAATATATAAATGAAATTCGGACGTAAGCATCGCGTAAAGTGTGGGGTAGACATGCAATGTCCCGAAAAACTATAATCCTGAAAACTATAAGAACTGAGACAGTGTTCCGAAATGTCACAATACTGAAAACTAAGAACAGAAACAATTTCCTGAAATTTTATAAAATCGAAATGTCATAATACTAAAAACAAACTGAGACAATGTCCCGAAATGACATGATACCGAAATAAAAAAATTAAGACAATTTTATCCCGAAAAGTTATAATTATAAAAATTAACGTGTATCAAAATAATATCTTAAAATATAAATTTCTTAAAAATTTTTTTTTAATTGCACAAGTAAATTACCATATCGATCATGATACACGAAGAATTTTCTTGTAGATAGGGGAACAATTGATATGGATTATATACATATATTTTGTTAAATAATTCTAAATTGTGAATATTATTACATTTTTATATTAAAAGATATTATAAATATATATACACACACTATCTAGAAGAATTTACTAATATGCATGCTAATACATGAAATACATATTTTCATTTTATTGAAAAACCAGATACTAATTTTCCCCTTGCTACAAAAAAGTTCTTCGTATATCGTGATATGGTAATTTACTTGTGCAACTTCAAAAAAATATTTTAAGAAATTTATATTTTAGAATATTATTTTAACACATTAATTTTTGAAATTATAATTTTTTTGGATATTATTTCAGTTCTTCGATTTCGGTATTATGTCATTTCGGGACATGGTCTCAGCTTCTAGTTTTCGATACTATGACATTTTGAGCGATTGTCTCAGTTCTTATTATTCGATATTCTAACATTTTGGGACATTATTCTATTTTTTCAGATTTCGGAACTTTTTTTCGTGACATTACATGTCCACCTAAAGTGGCAGTCTACGAATTGATTTCCGACATTCTTCGGTCGAACATCTACAGCACACAATGGAGCGATAATGATTAACGGCTGTTTGGAGAAATGAAGGTAAAACGAGGCCGCGTAAACGACGAACGCAATGCCTCCGCAAACATTCGCGTTTACTCATTCGCAGAAATAGGATCGTGCAGTGTCATTTTATACAAACAGAGATTAATCGTGTAATTTGATGATAATTATATCGATGTTTACACGACTTTAGATTTGCAGCTACGTGACAAGATATTATATCGCTGTAACTTCGAAGTGTGTAAAGTAAAATATATTACAGCTTCGAGAGATATATTATACATTTGATAATATAAGATCAAAATTAAAGTTGCGGAAAAAGATTTACTAAAGACACATTTACTAAAAGAATAATGCTAATCTAAATTTTAATATACTAATTATTTTAAGTAAATATATGTATAGACATATATATTATATATACATATATATATATA